ATTGCTGGCCAATGTTGTCATGGTTACTTAGGTCAGACACACCTGGATCAATCATCCTGCAATAAAAGACATATAACCCATTCTGATGTTTTTATATCTATTGTCAATGACTATTTTCTTTGTTTGACCATTTTATCAAACCCTTATCTAAGATTCGAAAGTACAAATTAACTAATATGCTGATTGAACCAATCATATTGGGTCAATATTTGTATCGGCCAATGCTGAAAGCTGCAATATTAGAAATAAAAAAATGTATAACAAGACCTCCCTGCTGTATATCCATCCATAAAGGCTGAATGCAAGGCCTGATTAGTGTTTTTTTTATCAAAAAGATCATAAGTCTTCAACACAACATTTTCTTTTTTTATTGGAAAAGTCATTTTACTCTCTTTTTAAGCTTTGAATGATTTGGAAATGATACCAGCAAAGGGAGAGATCTCTCAAACTATGAAGTACGGTGGTGGTTGCATCATGCTGTGGGGCTGTTTACTGCAGGAGGGATTGATGCACTTCTTCCAGATGTTTTAGAAACATGCTTTTTGTTTTTATGCTGATCTGGTTTACGTCTCTGATTGTTCCAACTTTGAGAAACTGTAAATACTTTCAGCTAACATAACTGACCAGGAAGAGAGAAACCCTTTGTTCTGATTGGTCAGAGGACCGGTTCAAAATGCACAAATGGAGAATCAGTCTGTTGTTACTATAACTAGTCTAGTTATAGTAACAACAAAGCGGCGCTTCCTGCAGACTAGTCTCCCTCCAGACAACGGGCCGGTCTCACAGTCTCACAGCGACCAACGTGACCAACGTTCACGCTTTGGAAGGGAACCTAAAGTCGTCTCATACCTTCAGCTTCCAGGTGTGATTCGCCCCTGAGGCCGGTCGCCTCCTGCTGATCAAAGAGGATCAGAGTGAACAAAGAATGGAGTTTTTGCTGATATTTTCTGACTCCATCAGGTGATTGAAGCTGAGCCCAGGTCCGATCTGATCATGTGCTGAAGTCTTGTCAGACTCTTTATCTGCTCCATCATCAGAGCCTCACACCATGCGATCGTTATTCCATCAAAGCTCTGGAAGAACCGTCAACTTTTAATCTTTCGTCAGCTGGAACAGCAACGAGAACCGGGTTCAGCTCACTGGGTTCTGTGCGCTGATCTGAGTGAAGCGGACAAGGTCGGGACACCAATCCGCAGCATACAGTCAACAGAATCGTTTCACGCAACACTTCAGCCTGTCAAATTCCTTCTGTTGACCCGGCCGTGACTCCTCCCCACTGGGAGGGCGGGCCCGCTCATATCAAGAGCCGGGTCAAGCTGATTTTGGACCCTCTTAGCTGGTCTCTGGCTGCTGCTCGGCCGTCTGAATAAAACAATTAGGGACTCTGGGTTTCTTTTGGCAGCTGGACTGCCATGCTTTTTCATTTCAACTCTTCATAACTTTCAGCAGTTATGACAGAAAACAGATAATGCAGAAGGTTGGAGAAATCAGAGATCTGAAGAGACCATCAGGTAGAGCTGGGAGGGGCAAAACCCTTCAATTTAATTCAATTTAGTTTATTTCTATAACACCAAATTAGAACAAATGTCATCTCAAGGCACTTTACAATTCAACCAGATCATCCAGGCTGATTGATTTAAAGTTTTCTACCTTAGGAAAACCAGTGAAATGCATCGACTGATTCACTCGAATGCAATCCCTCACACTAAGCATGCTTGTAGCGACAGTGGAGAGGAAAAACTCCCTTTGAACAGGAAGAAACCTCTAGAAGAACCAGGCTCAGTGTGAGGCGCCATCTGCTGAGGCCGACTGGGGTTCAAGGAGACAGAAGCAGACATAGAAAAAGAAGCATAGATACAAATGAACTTGTCAACCAGCTCCACAGGCGGCCCCGTCCAGGAAACACAGCCAGGCAGAGGAGCTCCGAGCCAGCTCCCATGTCAGAGGATGAAGAGAGCACATCCAGTTAGTCACAGAGAAACAGGACTACACTGAAAAACAGGCCAAGCTCCAACATCTATAAACCAAGGTGTTGATGGCAGCAGCACAGCTGATATTTCTCTCCAGGATGGAGTCACAGCCAAACAGGAACAGACCAGATGAAGCTACTATGAGAAAAAGCAGAGAGAGCAGAACGTTAGAGATTGAACTAACAGATTCTGCAGAGTGGGAGAATAGAGATAGAATGAAGCAGAATGATGAAAAAGGGGTCCCTATGTCCTCCAGCAGTCTAAGGCTATAGCAGCATAACTATAGAGATAGATCAGGATAACCTGAGCCACTGTTACTATAAGCTTTATCAAAAAGGAAAGTTTTAAGCCTAGCCTTAAAAGTAGACAGGGTGTGTTCCAGCAGCACTTCTAGATAACATACAGCTAGAATCACCAAACATCTGCTGGTTTCCTTCTTTCCTTACTGGATTAGATGGTTCTTCATCAACACGCTCCTTCTGTCGAATATATCTCCACTGGTAGATTAAAGCTTACTTAGTTAGATTTTAGCAGTTTGTTTTTGTACCAAAATTTTATCGCTAATCTAGAAGCTTTATGTTAGTCTGCTTTATCCATTCTGGGTTCATTGTCCTGAAGAAACACCCACCAGGTTCTGGTTTCAACTCCCGATTTGACAGGAAGTCAGAAAATTTCAATTCAATCTGGAATCCCAAAGTATGATGCTGCCACCACCATGTGTGACAGCAAGTTCAGCTTTTTATTTCAAAGCTTCTTCATAAAATATTCATTCAGTAAACATTTGGATGGTTTCAAGTAAAGTTGAAGGATAGTCCTGGTAGAGGCCCACAGAATGATGACTCCACTGCCGTGCTTGACCTCTTCCTTCGTAAAGAAAACCCAGTCAGGATCCCGTTTGTCCCCAAAGCGGAGCGAGAAGGAGAACTGACGCTCTCGTTGTTTTTCCGTCAGACGGATGTGATGCACCAGAGTGTGTTTGAGCTGATCCACACTGAAGACCAGCAGGAGTTCAAGAGGAACCTGCACTGGGCCCTGAACCCCCCGGTCAGCCTGGAGCCCCCCACCGATCCTGCAGGTTTGTTTCCCAAACACTCAGCCCAGCTTCCTTCCTGCAGATATCCTGGTTTCTGTGTTTAAACTTCTGATGGTGAGGTCAGGAAGCTGCGAGGAGCGGCGACCTTCCAGCTCGCCCCCAGATACTCTAACTGTACACAGCAGTTTACACGGCTGTCACTGTGAGTTAGGCTCACAGCAGCAGCAGCTCATGTAGGTCAGCCCATCCTCCCATCAACCATCTCTGCTTCAACACGTTTTCACTCAGCTGTGTCTAACGCGTTCAGGTGTGGAAGCGACGTCCTCCCGCCCGGTCAGCTACAGCCCCGACCAGCTCCCGCCTGAAAACTCCTCCTTCCTGGAGCGAGCCTTCGTCTGCCGCTTCCGCTGCCTGCTGGACAACTCCTCGGGTTTCCTGGTGAGTCCGAAAGGTTTCCTCTCTTTCACCGGGAAACGTTTTAGAGCTCAGATCCAATCAGATTAATTTTTCTGATCTGCTCTGGAGATAACCTCACTGGACCCCTGATCTCTGTCCACTTGTAATCTACCTTATTTGCATTCTGTCACAAATAAACAGGGTTCAAACAAATGCTTGAAATCCTTCAAAAACCTTGAATTTCAATGTTTTTTTTAAGGTTTTTCTCAATATACCTTAATATCATATAACGAGAGAAAAAAAAATAATTAACCACTGGGTCCGGTGCACCTCATTAAAGCTTTTGCTTCAGTTTCCTGTTAGTCTGTTGTCATGACAACCTGACTCCCAAATGGACAGAATGTTGAATGAACATGAGGGGAGGATGGAGGATGATTTTAATGAACTGCTAACAGAAAATATAAAGTATAGACAAATGGCTCTAAAATCAAGCGAACCAACATTAGGAAAACGGCAAAGCGCAGAAAAGAGATTTTGTTTTTTGCAGTCATGTGAGAGGTACGACACACAGGCACTAACCTAACCGTTAATTATCTATCCTAACTGTTAGATACATGCTAGGCTACGCAGAGGCGTAGCCAGAAAAACGATGGCCAGGTAATAAACAATGCTCACCGAAAGTGGATAAGCGGCAGAACCTCGGGTTCCAACAGGAAAATTAACAAGCAGAATATCCATATTTTCTAAATATAGACTAACTATACATTCCCACAGACTTTGCTAACAAATAGACGCATATATTTAAACATCCGTGCTTTCTAGATAAAAGTTATAGGGGATAAAATTATTTTAGGTTTGAGTTCTGGAGCGAACATCTTTTCCTTTGTCATTACTTAACTACTTTTATCAATAATCATTCTGTGTAAAATTGATATTTACAAAACTAATACCTACATAAATGGATTATTTAATACGTTTTTACTAAAATAGTTATCTGGGACTTGCAGAGACACATAATTTTCTCTTTACCCCAGAAAACAGTAAATCTATTTCTGAAAAGAGCAGGAATCATCTTTAATGTTAGTTTATTGATGTGCATAATTAACCGCAGTGTTTATGTTGTCAAATAATTAATAAAATATGAAAAATTAAAATGTTTTAAATATTTTACGTGAGAGTATTACTGCTGCCACCGTCTGTATTAGAGGGAACAAATGGTAGGGGTCCTGGCCCCCCAACTAGCTCTGCCCCCTGGGTATACGTGACGTAGAAGCGCTGCTATAGCGGAGGGTGATTCTGACAAGACGTCATTCCAAGCATTAAACACCTGCACTGGAGTGAGAGAATAGAGATAGAATGAAGCAGAATGATGAAAAACGGGTCCCCATGTCCTCCAGCAGTCTAAGCCTATAGTAGCTTAATTTTAGACATAGCTTAGGATAACCTGAGCCACCCCTGGCCCCCCATCTAGCTCCGCCCCTGGGTATACGTGACGTCGAAGCGCTGCTATAGCGGAGGGTGAGTCTGACAAGGCGTCATTCCAAGCGATTAATCCCCTGCGCTGGACGCGTGCATTCATCAGGAAGGAAGAATCCAGTCACTCCGCCTCGTTTTAGTTTAGTTAAAGTAATAGAAGAGTTTCATTACACTGTCGCTCAGTTAGTGGGTCAAAACTTAAAATGTAACACTTGTTATCTTTTGCTGTCGTTATGGGATTGTTTGAACCGATTAAGGACGTTTGTTGGATGGATAATTAATGGTTAAAACTGAATTGATCGTGACTAAAATAGCTCTGCGGTCCTTTCCACATGTCTGTTGTTTTCCTGCTAAATGGAATATAAGATAGTTTAATAAGATGTTAAGTATATTATATAAAAATATAGCAATGCATATTAATTTTATGCTTAAAATTATTTAGACTCCTACATTTTTTTGAGAGTTTTATTAATTTCAAACACTCTAGTACATTTTCTATGCGCTGACCAGCTGCTTGGCGTATTTTCTAAGCATGATTTGACATAATGTTTTTTAAATTAAATTTGCTTTTATTTACTTAGCGGCAATTCATATCATGTCATGTTAAGTCACTTTACAAAGTCAATGCCATAAATGGTCCAGACAAATTGGTCTTTCTAAGGAAACCCAGCAGACTGCATCGAGTCATAAGGAGCTGATAATTACAGCCGATTTATAACGTTAAGGTATAAGTTGACCTCTGACCTTGAAAAGCCTTGAAAGGTATTTGAATTTGAGCATGAAAAGGTGTATGATCCCTGCATGAAGGGCAGCAGATGGCTTCCTGAAGGGATCTACATGATGCAGAAGGTTTACTTTGGGAATTAGTGGTCATTACATCATTACAGCCAGTCTGTTTCACCATGCGTGACGTTTGGCTAACGGTGACTGATGGTGTCCAACAGGCTGAGAGGAGCAGGTCTGAGGGACCAGCAGCAGAGACTGAATCATTTCTCCCGCTGTCTCATTAATTAATGGATGACTGATGGTGAGATGCTGACCATGAAATGCCTTCCTTGCAGCCGCTGAGCATCCAGGGCAGACTGAAGTTCCTCCACGGTCAGAGCCGTCCGCAGAGCGGGAGCATCAGCCCACCTCAGCTGGCCCTGTTCGCCGTGGCGACACCGCTGCAGCCTCCCGCCATCCTGGAGATCAGAACCAAGAACATGATCTTCAGGACCAAACACAAGCTGGACTTTACGCCTATGGCGTGCGACGCTAAGTACGTCCTGCTATGACCTGAACCGGTCTACTCTAGCCTGGTTGCTGTGTGTAACGCTGTGTCTGGTTTCCTGGACCGTTTAGGGGGAAAATCGTCCTGGGATACACCGAGGCCGAGCTGAGGGTGCGAGGATCCGGCTACCAGTTCATCCACGCCGCTGACATGCTTTACTGCGCAGAAAACCACGTTAGAAGTAAGTCAGCTGCTGCTGCTTCTCCCTAGTTAACCATATCGGATGACCCGGTTAGTCGGCGTGACGCCCGCCCCGCTGCCACACTCTGATACACATCCAATCAGGCAGCGATGATCCTAAATTTTCCACTCAGACTTAGAGATCCAACAGCTGGAAAGAAGTTCTCTGCTTCTGGTTTTACACCAGATCAACCTTTTACAGCTGATGTTAAACAGCTCAGCATGGTGAGAATCATCAGCAGAAGGAAAGTCTGTAATCTCACAGGATGGGAATCAAAACAAGGAAATGGAACTAATCCCTGCAAACAAATAATCCAAGTTTTACAGCTGATGTTTGTTAGAAAAGAAACCGTAAAGGGGTGATAAAATCATTCCATAGGGTATCTGGTCCTTGGTTAAAAGCCCCAGAATAAAACGACAGGTTTTCTTCCTTTTATGGCAGGGGTCACCAACGCGGTGCCTGCGGGCACCAAGGGGCCCTCAAGGACCCCATGGGGTGCCCTCAACGCCCTCTGAAAACAGCAACTCAGCAGTGGGCTAAGATTGAAATTTTATTTTATTCTGTGACTCTTCTTTTTAATCATTTATAGAGCATTTCATCATAGTAATCATATAGGGCATTTTAGCATTTATAGAGATTTTAAAATTATAATGTTTAAAGGAAAATTAGAAATTAATAGTTAACAATAAAAATGTGTTTAATTTGGATGAAGTTTAGGTGAACGCCAGAGAGACAAATACTTCGTTACTGTACTCAAGTAGATTTTTCTGATATTTTTACTTTACTACTTATTTTTATGGTGACTTTTTACTTCTACTCCTTACATTTTTACACAAATATCTGTACTTTCTACTCCTTACATTTTAAAAATTGGCTCGTTACTTTAGTTTTGAATCATTTCAATGGAGTTACCGTTATTATTTTTCACGTCATCAATACCAAATTCAATCTAATTGGATGGGAATCTACGTTGCATTTGACGCACCACTACAAGATGAATCGACAGATTCGGCGGTATTCATTCACGGCAAATCATTGCAGCTTGGTGGCGGTGGCGTTAGCATAGTAGCATGGACGACGAGATGATTGAAAATGAACACAACGGAGATCTAGTCCTATTGGCAGACATCCATTTAAAATGTAGGCAACGGCATGAAAAAAGTGGTTTCTACTTTTACTTTTATACTTTAAGTAAATTTACAAGCCTGTACTTTGTTACTTTTACTTGAGTAAAGAAGTTTAATCAGTACTTCCACTTTTACCAGAGTATTTTTTAACAAAAGTATCTGTACTTTTACTCAAGTACGGAAAGTGAGTACTTTTGCCATCTCTGGTGAACGCTGACCCCTCTTGTTCGTGGGTCAGTATTGGTAGCCCTTCCTATGATGCAATAGCCATGAAGTAGCCCTCAGCCTTGAAATGGTTGGTGACCCCTGCTTTATGGTATGACCATGAATATTTAGATGAGCTGTGCTCTGATTGGTTGGTTCGAGTGAAGCTGCTGAGCAGATGCATCATAGCAACAAGCACTCACTCACTGAAACATTGAATTGTTGATATGGTAGGGTGACCAGACGTCCTCTTTTTCTCGGACATGTCCTACTTTTCATACATAAAAAAAATGTCCAGGGGGAATTTCAAAATCGTCCGGGATTTTGTTCGACTACAGTGCAGCATGCAGTCGAAACACACCCGCCAGCTCTGGGGCTGGTCCGGGAACTGCGGCGCATTGAGGCAGGGAGCCAGCGAGGGATGGAGTGAACGAACCCGACCGGATGACTGTAGCCTGGACACCAAGGGCCCCATACTTCCTCTCTCCTCCCTTACGGGCCCCCAGCCGCCCTCCTCCAGCTGAGGACGGGCGGCTCATGGCTCTCTGCCAAGGTCTGGTCCAGTCACTGGCTCCCCTCAAACCCAAATCTGGTCACCCTAGGTATGCTAGCATTGCTATCAACAGCTTAGCGACAGAATCATACTTCCAGGTCGCGGCTGTTATGGCCTTACGGTCGGAACAGCCCCCCGTTTCAGTAAAGGAAGTTTAGCAAATCCTGCTTTGAAGATTTTGAAAGCTGTCTTTGGTAAAATGCTTCATCAAATGAACAGCTGAGCATCAATCTTTGCAGGGATCCATGCCTGTTGAGTCTTTGGATCCTTGGGAAGACTGTGAAAATAGAACGCTGCATTTCTGCCCGTGGTTCTGGCTCATTTTTAACAGAGAAACTGCCTGCTTTGTAATTCTTGTAGAAGTAAACCCAACTGTAGGCTAAACAGCTAAACTGGTGTCTTCCATCTTCCTCTATTAATGTTCTCGGGCTGTGAACCAGTGGGCTGGTCTGGATGTCACTTTCAGGGCGTGACTGAAGTACAGGAGAAAACCAAATAAGGAAACATCCCCAAATTTACGTCAATTTAGGGCTTCGTTTGAATTCATCCATATTAAGGTGGAAGTTTAGAGGTGTTGATGGAGTTTGAACTTCTCTGTACGTCTATTTCACCCTCTGAACTATCGTTATTCATCTATGAAAATGGAAACTAGATTTTGCATTCTACGACCCCTTTAAGGTTACGATGGTCCAGACTTTGATTAGACCACCACAGCATCTTAATTCTTTTCTTTTTCAGTCGTTTTCTTCCTGACAAGCTGCTGATTTTGGTCTCATCAAGTCTTGATTTTCATTTAAATGAAGATTTGAGTTTCCAGGGAAAATTCTTTCTCATTCAAATCCCAGTCTGTGAACCATAATGACGCTCCAATATACTGGAATTGGTCCAAAAACATGACGTAAACCAGTCTAGTTCTGTTCCCTGATCCCTGCAGCAGCATCAAACCTTTCTAAGATAATAATTCAGTCGATTATAAAAAAGAAAATCTTAATTCTGATGCCAACACTGGCGTTTTAGGAAGGACTGGTTTTGAGTCTGCGGCAGTGAAGCCGAGCCGGTTCTCCACCCGCTGTGGACCCCTGTGACCCAGCTGTCACTGCGGCTGAGGTCAGACCTCTGCTCTTCTCATTACTGTGACATCTGCTGCTGGTGGTGCAGGCTGTAATGCAGGCTTTGAACTGATGGAGCCCCTGCTGCGTCTCTTCACTAGTGTTTGGATAAATGCATGGATGCAGACCCGGCAGAACGAAGAAGCGGATGCTGTCAAAGATTCGGTTAAATAGAGGGAAATGCAGCATAAAATTAGGCTTTTAAATGGATCAGGACAGTTTGATGCACAGGATGAGGGTTTTATTCTCTGACAGAAAGGAAAAGGACTTTTTTTCTGCTGGTATTTTCATCCTGTGACTGAAGCTTTGATGATTGTTGGTCTAACATCGTTTGAGTCCCAAATAGAGATACTCCAACGTCTTCTCCGCTGTGGTTTCAGTGATAAAGACTGGTGAAAGTGGCCTGACCGTCTTCCGGCTGCTCACCAAAGACAACCGATGGAAGTGGGTCCAGTCCAACGCTCGGCTGGTTTACAAGAACGGGAAGCCGGACTACATCATCGCCACCCAGAGGCCTTTGGCGTCAGTGCTTCTCTCTTATCCTCCCACTTTTCTTCAGGGTTTTCCTTCACTGATGTTTTTGTTTCTTCATCTGCAGGGAGGAGGAAGGAGGAGAACACCTGAGAAAGAGATCTATGCACCTCCCCTTCACCTTTGCCACCGGAGAGGCTCTCCTGTACCAAACCAGCCACCCGCTGCACGGCTTCCCCGATCCGTCCCACGGTAAAGCCAGAGGCAGCAAGTCCAAGAAGGGCAAAATGGACAAGAGCTCCTCAGATGAACTCAACCCTAACTCTCTGCTGGGGGCGCTGATGAGTCAGGATGAGTCCGTGTACGTCTGCCAGCCGGATGCGGAGCCTCGGACGTTCTTCCACGGCGGCGGTCCCGGTGAGTCGGACGCCTTGTTGAGCAGCGGCAGCTGGAACCTCGTCTCCAACCGGCAGCTTGGGACGTGCAACGGGGACGGCTTCGACCCTCTTCTGTCGACGTTGGACTCTCTGTCCCTGGACGGAGACGAAGCTTGCACCAACAGTGAGCTCTTCAGCGCTCTGGAGAGTCTGGGCCTCAACGCCGACGACCTGGAGCTGCTGCTGCTGGACGAGCGGATGATGCAGGTGGAGCTGGATCCCAGCCACGTCCCCTCTCTGAGCGACCTTCTCACCAACAACGAGATCCTCACATACGTCCAGGACACTCTGCAGGGTGAGCCAGGGAGCGGTGGCCAGGCTGCGGACTCTGCCGCCCTGCAGCCGATCTTGGCACCTGCTCCCCCTCTGGACCAGAACGCCTTCAGGCAGCCCATCGTCCAGCTGTCCCAGCAGATGCAGCAGCATCTCCAGTCACCCTTACATCCTGCTGTGGTGCAAGCCGACAATCCAATCAGTTTATCCGACAGTCTCTGGGTGGAGAACCATCATCAGACCCAAGTCATAGATCCACAGCTGGACGCTGAGCATCTAGACCCACATCTGGAGTCCCCCTGGCAGCTGCAGATAAACACGGAGAGCACAGATTCACCGGGTTTCCAGAACGGATCTCACATCCCAAACCAGAGCTCAGCTTTCCTCCCAGATTACAGCATCTCCAACCCTTTGGACGGCTGCACCGGTCTGCTGAACGGCGGGAAGGCGGCGGACATCTGTCAGCGTCTGGGCGTCGTCGCCACGGCGCTGCAGCCAGCACATCTGGGTCCGCAGAGACAGGCGTCGGCGAACTGTGGGGTGCATGAAACGCCGCAGCTCGTCTCTCTGCCGGCGCTCAGCTGCAGCATGTTCAGCCCTGCAGCCGACGGAAAGGTGAGAGGTCAGGAGGCGACGCTAACATGATGGGATGTTTGACTTCCTGTTAGGTCAGAGATTAACTCTACATTCCCAGTTTATTTTATTAGATTAAAAAATAACTCACATTTTTAGTTGTAGAGTTCAGTTTGGTGAATTTAAACTTTCAAAGTCTGATATCTCAGTAGAATGGAAATCCAACCAAATATCAAAAAGATCTGCAGCCCTGCGCTGCTCCATTTCCCTGTCGGGAAAATAGATTATTTGATTTCTGAGTCGGCTGTGGCGGCCTGGGGCCGGCAGGGAGCTCAGAGTAGACCGCCATGATGAAAGAGGACATGTCATGTAAATACGATGAGGGAGAGACGCTCAGTCACTTTACATCCAGAGATTTCACATCCTAGACGAAGCTCTGCTTGGCTTTATACTGCTGACTGACTGCTGAGTGGAATCACATTATGTTCATTCTGTGAATAATCCTGACTTCTGCTCGGACTGTCCTGATTGGCTCCAGTGCTGCGCTGCAGGATTCCTGGATCACTGGGCAGGAAGGTTTAGCTCTGATCCTGCACACGGTGGCTGACAGTTACTGAAATGCTGCTGCAAACAAGAAAACGTCTCAGAAAAGGTTCCAGTTAAACGGTTGCTGGGATGATTTTATATTTTTCCTGATTCATTTAGTCTCAGACTGTCAGGTCTAACACCTAAAACACTTTAAAACAAGGAAAGAAAGGCACAGAGTCAGAATTATTTTTCCTCGCGAGGAGAGTAGGAAGAGACCCTGCAGGTACATTTCCACCCCACTCTGCCGGTCTTCAGCTTTCTCCTCGCTATTTATTAAAGTCAGGGGGGGGGTCCCTAGTTACACAAGCTGAGGTTGCGCTAAAGCAATAGGAAACAAGTAATACAATTCAATTTGGTTTCGTTAAGCTTGAGCCAATTTCCTGAGAGTTGACCTATACTTTTTATGCAATTCCTCTCTGAAACAGTAATATGTCACACATTATACATCATAATAGTTCATTGGTACACAACCCAAGAAATACAAACAGAGTAAGAGTATAAGAGAAATATTTCTAACACAGACCTTCTACATGTACTGATAGTAGAAATATGTGCAGCGGTTTCTGTGGTATTGATTCAGTTTGGTGAATATTAAAGACTGTTTAACACTGAAAAGTAAAGTCAAGAGTAATCAGTGTATATTTTGCGCCTGATACCAGTGACTTTTATCGTCTTTCTTTTTTTAAAATTTTATTTTAATTAACTCTGCATTTAATCTATGCCCTTGGAGCAGTGGGCTGCCATTGTGCTGGGCCTGGGGAGCAGTGTGGGGTTTAAGGGCTGGTTATATTCCCACAGCAGGGTGTCGCAGTGAGCTTGTCGCAGGTATGATGCAGATATTTGTGATTTATTTTGAATCTTATTCCACACCACAACGCAAGCGGGACAATCATGAACTAGCTGTGAGTTTAGATACGTTCGAGGAGGTTAGGGTATCGACAATGGAGGGACATGAGGAAAAGAGCGGGGATCCAGGTGGGAAAAGAGTTCCAGCTCGCTCTTCTAGCTGGTCCATCTTCACCAGTCATTTTCCACAATAGTGGTCATACCAACAGCTTCTGTAGCCGGTAAGGTATTGGTACCTAGAGCGGATGTAGATTTGACCAATCAGAGGCCTCCTGTCTGCAGCACTGTCTGCGGTCACCTGCAATTTTGGAGAGGTGCACAAGAGTGTCTGCGGAAGAGGCATGGACGTCTCTGCGTTCACTGCCCTATGCAGACAACCTGGTTTCCAAGTATAAATCAGCCTTAAGGGTGTCTGTGGGAGTGTCAGGATTCCACTAGGTGCCCTAACCACTCCCCAAACACCGATACAAAACCAGGCTTCCTGTTTGCAGGACAGGTAACTTACCACTTGAGCTAGCCAGCCGCCTAGCTTTATGCTGAAAAAGAGTTAAACATTAATTAGGGGAAAGATGAAGATGTTGAATAAAAGTTGCTCAAGAATAACTCCTGGTGGGACTCCATGTTTGATCCATAGTTGCTTAGATTAATCATCACAAAATGAGCAGTTAAGTAGCCCCACTTTGCAAAGTGAGCCAATTTAAACAGTGTCTCATGATTTTACTACATTGATTTAGAAATCGCCTTCATGTGTTTGTTAAAGTAATCTTTGGGTCCATAAACAGACTTTGATTGCAGTTTTTAGCCTCAAAGGATCCAGAGTTTGGATGGGTGATCTATTTAGCATTGGTTTTATAATCAAAAAAAAAAAAAACTATGATTTACGCTTCTCCTCAATCACAGCTTGGTGCTCAACCTGCAGAAACACAAACAGGAAACTGGTGTTATTTAAAGAAATTCATCATTTTCAGTTTTACTAACTGTCCTGGATCAGCTGGGCCTTCCTGTTCTCTCATCGCCGGTGTGGTCTCTCCGTGCATGACAGCAGCGTTTGAGCAGAACAAACAAACTGCCAGATCTGGGTAAAGATGGAATGAATCATGAGTGAGAACGGGACAGCGAAGCGGCAGAGAAAGCGAGTACAATAATGAATAGAGTGAGGCCGGGATGAGCCCAGAGAGGCGGCCGGGCCCAGCAGGCATCTCCTCCTCCCCGCTGCATTCAGCCTTTTCTGTTATTCTTCAGGGTCAGTGGCTGTCGCTGAAAGAAAAATACTGGCATGCGGGCCAGTCAGGCATGAGCGCCGCTGACCTACAATTTATCTGTCATCATTACCTAATGCTGCAAACACAGGATGGGGGGCGCATGGAAACACGGCTCACAGCACTGAAACTGTCTCTGCAGGGAGATGCATACAGTACACACGGAGCAGGACGCTGGTTTAAAGCTTTATCTACAGGAATAGATGGAAAACAGATGAATTAACAAAAGTCTGAACTTTTAATTGCACCAAACTGGTGAGCAACTGCCAAGAGGAAGGCAGCTAAACTTGTCCAAAATGTCTAGATGCTTTAGGATCTCTTGGGGCCTTGCAAGGCCCAGCAGCCGATACCATGGATGAGAAATCTGTTTCTTCCTGACGAAACTAGAAGAAAGTCCTGGTAATAGAAAATATTTTAGAGAAATAGTTCCATAGAAAGTAAACTCACTATATCCACCAGGCTACATGAGGAGAAATCTTTATCAGAATACAGTGACAAAAATTAAGAATTTATATAATTTTTATATTGGTGTATATTAAGTATATATAATACAAATCTAGATGAATGAATATGTAAAAGAATTTACTAATAGCCTTTAAATTGTGAGAAAAGGTTTTCATGTATACATTTAGGGCTGAAACAATTAATCAGATTAATCGTGATTAATCAGTTATTTAAATAATTGTCAGTTAATTTAGTAATCGATTTATTGTTAACTAGAGTATAGGGACTCTAAAACACAATTTAGCTGACTGAGTGACCCACTTAGAGCTGTAATTATATCAAAATTGTAAAAAAAAATTAAAAAAAAGTAAACATTTTGCATTTAAGATGAAAAAAAAAATGTTTTCATCTGCAATATGCTTTATCCTACGGAAGAGGATTAGGGCCACTGAAATTTTTTTTTAAAAAGTTAACAGATTTTTTTATTTTGTTTCAGTATAATTTGAGACAAAAAGTCAGAATTCTGATTTTTTTCTCTGAATTTTGACTTTAATATCAGAAATCTGACTTTAATTTTAAAATTCTGATTTTTTTTCTCAGAATTCAGACGTATTTTTCAGTATTCTGACTCACTCTGAATTCTGACAGCTAACAAACATGTTAGCATCAAGCCGTAGCCATGTCTGTTTTAGAGACTAAACTAGCTCTCTTGCTTTAATCACCTTCTGCTCTTCCATTAATGAAAAAGTCGCCTTATTCCGTCATTTTCCACCAATGTGTTCCTGTTCCTCCCAAACAACTCACATCTTTGTCAGTGAAGCTGAGTGCTCCACATCTCTTCCTTCATGGTGCCCATCTACATTAAGATCCACAATTCTGAGATTAAAGTCAGAATTCCGACTTTTTTTCCCATATTAAACTGAAATAATATTTAAAAATCAGTTCACTTTTTTATTTTTTCAGTGGCCCTAATCCTCTTCCATACTATCCATCCACTCATCAAGTGGAAAACTTTTGTTACATCTGGTTTGATTTAGTAAAAAGTCCTCTTTACGGAATCTTTGGCTATACGATTATTAATCGAAATAATAATTGACAGATTAATCAATTTGCAAAGTAATTGTTAGTTGTAGCCAAACTCAGATTCCACCAGCTGGGTTCTTCTTCTTTCATTTCTTCTGCTATGCTTTCCTCCCTGGTTTATAGACAATGAATCCCACCTCAATGTTATTACTGGATTTGGGGCTGATGAAGTCAAAATATTCACCAAAAGAACCTAAACTTTTCCGTCAATTTGACTTTTCAAGTTTCTTCCGGAATAAACTGGAAGAAACAGTTTCTTTCAAGAACCATGGAAAAATCCTGGAAAAAACCATCATCTGGAAGACAGTTCTAACCCTGGCAGATACAACCAAGTTTTTCTTGTTAGTTGTTGTGTCCGTTATCGTCTGGGATCATCCAATTTGTTTTAAAATCTCTGTGGATTTAACTCTTGCCGAGCCAAAACCGTATAAGTTATTCAAAAAATTGTTTCACTGTAAGCGCCCGCCATCCCTCGACTTTAATTGCGCCGACTTTGGCGTATGTGAGTCAATCAGAACAATATTTATGACAATGTAAAAACACTTAGTCTCATTCGTTTTTGTCAAAAACCAATAGAAAAAGGCTGATTTTCATCAACTTTTGGTCGGCCTGGAGGGGTTTGATGGAAAGGTATAAATCTTTCTGAACGTCTGTGTTTGTTTCCAGGTGGAGAACGGATGCCTCCTCAGCTCTGCCAACGGAGGGTACATCAGGACGTGTCTAATTCCTGGAAGAAACGGAGTGGAGGCGTGCGACATCGCCGTGTCGTGTACCGACGGAGTCTCCAACCTACCAGACCCCCAGAAATCTGGTTTCTTCCTCTGATTGGACGACACAGAGCAGAGGTGGGGCAGACGGACCTGCTTTATTTGTTTTTTTTACATGGAACGACGAGGATCTGATCCTCTTTAAAAGACATTCTCTGTTCACTGCTGTGGTGAAGAAAAAAGTCCAAGAGGACGCCTCTTCCTGAAACGGTTCGAAGCGTCTTCATGCTACCTGGAACGAGTCTGAGAAGGTTCTCCGTCCTCATCGCTGCTGCTTCTGGTCCACCTTTTAAGATTAAGGTCCTCTTATGCAAACAGATGTTGGTTTAATATCCCCGCAGCCTGGGATAATCTGCAGGGCTTAGACTCATTTAAATCTACTAAACAAGAAGCTTTAGTGGAGAGTTTAATGTGGTCACATGGAGCAAACGGGGACAGGAGATCAGGTGGAGCATCTTTATCGTTTATCAGAAGATATTTAAGGAAAACCAACCCCAGTTGGAGATTTTAAAACAATCTGCAGTATCTAAATGTTTTATTTAAAGTGATTTTATGCTCACCGCCGTTTTTTTTTGTTCGGAAAAACGATCAAGAGTATTGGGGGCTTTAAATGCACACAGAGAAATCTATAAAAATAAACTTCTTCTTCTTCTGGAAGTTCTTAAAACAGAAGAAGAACAGGAGCGTAGAAACCCTGATGCTGCATTTTGAGGTTCATCCTGGTTTTCTGGTAAGAGACTCGGTCAGAGACGACCCGGTTTGTTCCAGAAAAGTTCAAAAGCATTTTTAACGTTTCCTGAGCCGAGATGGTCGTAGAAGCTCCAGTTGATGCCTTGTCCAGGAAACAAACTCTTGCCGAATGGGAAAAACCAAACGTATTCAAACCCTCGGCAGAAGATAGGACCTAGCTGTTTAGTTTTCATTTTAAATCTACATCAGATATCACACACACACACAAAAAAAAAAAAAGTATCTCCCGGTTCGATTCAGTCGTGGTTAAAAGTAACTTAACTTTAGGGTGCGTTGGATTTCACTGAGGTTTTTAGACATTGATTTGCTGCATGGCGTTCTTTAAGTGGAATCCTTCACTTTGGTACGACCTCATTTATGTTTCAGCGGTTCTGTAGATCAGCAGCTGCTTTTGTGTCTGTTGTTCCACTTCACTTTTAGCTGTAGGACACTTCGGTAAACAGAGGAGTTCAGGTCCTGATCATCACTCCTCCACCGCCATGCTTTATTAGTGTTCTAAATGCCAGCTGTACTCTGCATTGTTACCAAACATCTCGTCTTTGGTTTCCTGTGGTTTCCTCAGATAAGCTAGCCTACTTCATGCTGCTATGTTGTTCTTAAGGACAATTTCTGCTTCTGACGCATAGCCTCTGCAAACGTCAAATTTGTCTCTTGTGTGCGACCACGCAGAGGTTCTGCAACCGCCGTCATGGACCTAAAAAAATCCTGACTATGCGTTGGACGGTCGTAAACCCGTGCAGACCTCAAGCAGCTGTGATTGGTCCTTGGTATGCCTTTCTGGCTGTCTGTGTGGTCGTCCTTCTGGATTCGGTGCCGGGGCCCGCCATTTTTAAAAACCGAGGAACGACTACAATGGAGAACTACGATGAAAAGGTTAATCGGTCTATTTGCCAACTCCATTAATAGAACCTGTTCCTCTTCAATGTCTAGCAACTCTAGATCCATCTCCATGATCGTGACTTGCAGACACGCGATGGTTGTTTTGAAAGATAAACACTCCCGCTGGCACTGCCAAAGTTCTTGTGAGCATCCGCCGAAGTTCTCTTGAGTTCTCGAATAGGCTCCCCCTTGTGGTTTGGAAACTGCTGTGCGTCCCTAGAAATTCCAGACCGACGGAGCAGAAGCAAACCAGCAAAGCTGGTTCGCGACCAGACCCAAGCGGCATTTGATGTGTGCGTTTGCAGAAGTCTAATCTGCCCTTTAGAGATTCTTGTTCCTTCTGCCTTGGCATGGTATTCCTCAAGACAGAAACCTTTCATAGGGGCGGACACTATTATGATGAATACTGCTGCATCAAATCGTTAAGCCTGAACACACCAAATGCGTCTGATCTGAAGGAAAATCGTGTTGGAGTAGGTCGTGGAGTTTTTTGCAGACTCCTGCAAAAACAATCAAAATAGAAAACTTTACCCATGATAGCAATTCAGGAAGACAGAAAAACAATAAAGTGGTGATCCTGTTTGAGCCTTGCAAAAAAACAAAATAACGAGGGGCAGAAAGAGCAGGTAATAGAAGCTCGTCTCTCTCCCCTATTTATGAAAAGAAAGAAAAAGAAAACCGTCGATAAACTTGACAGATCTCTCTGACAATCACCTCCTACTAATAATAAACCGTCCAGCAGCCTTTACTGCTGCGTTTTCCCTTTCTTTCAATGTAGATCTCATGTTTTTAATAAAAAGGATCTGTCCTGGTTTAAGATGCTGTTCAGTCCTATTAAGTGGGATTTGTTTTACAGCTGCGCTGCTGTTTTGTTTTAATTTTAAAGGGTTTTTATCATCCAAGTCAAATGTTTTAATCTGTGTTCAGCACAGAGACAGAAGTGAAAATAATCAGCACAGATCTGCTTATTCTGCCTAGTTGGAGCCGCTCTATATATCAGTCAGTGTGACGTGGAAAAAAGTCGGATCAGAGACTAAAAAGTTGGATGAAACCAGTATGTTCAGACCTTAAGTGCTACTTTCTTCTCTAAATCTCTGGAAACAATAGTTTTGTTCTTGGGGTTTTTCCGTAGTCGAGGTTTCATCATTTTAGAAACAGACAGGAAGCTGAAATCATTTAACATTAAACTCTAGAATTCAAACTGGTTTTAGTTCTTTTAACCACGACTGACTGTTAAATAAAGAAGTTTTAGGTTGTGGTGCTAGCTTATTAGCAGGTCTAAAACAGCAGCAGATCTCTTCCTATAAGTCAGGACTCTCTGTCGGTTGACCTTTTCAATCCAGGTTCCTGGGAAGGAATCAGACACTTTATATGCAACAAGGAGGCTGTTCACACCTGGTGATCTCCTCACGTCTGGGTCGGTTCTGAGATTTCATGGATTCCAGCTCTGAGCAGCTTCTCATCATCATTAACAAACCAGAGATGGACCAAGATATTTCCCTAGAAATATTTTACCTTCTTCACTCCAACTGCAGTAAAACGATCCTGAAAGCAGATCTAAAGTATGAAAGTGTTTTAATGAGGGAGGAAGATTTATTATTCTGGTTTTAAAAAGCATCTTGGAACCAGTTTAAACTGGTTGCTTCAAGTGTCGAACGCTCTCCTTTCAGACTATAATTTTAGTCTTAATGGTTGTGAAGTTGTTTCTATGCATCCTCTCTGTGACCACTCCCACAGCATCATGCTGCCACCACCGTACTTCACAGTTTGCTCTTAAACATGTACATTCTTTTAATAGGAGGGAGGTATTTCCGGTCTTTTTTTTTAGACTTTTGCATTTAAACTATTTGTCTTTGAGTCCGGTTATGTCAGCTGGCGTTCCAAAATGATGTTCCGACTTTAACTGATCCAGTTTCCATTAAATGGACGACAGCAGCAGGTGTGAACAGCCTAACCTTTAGAGCTGCTGCCATGTTTCCTTTATCCCACTGTGACAGACCACAAACGCTGCTACAGGGTAGCCGCAGAGACGCGAACGCGGCCGCCATCTTTCTGACCTGATAGCTGCGTTTAGCATTTAGCTCCAACTCGGAAACCAAATGGGAAATGTTAGGATTTGGTGTTGAATGTTCTCAAACACAGAGCTTTCATTTAAGAAGAAGACAATCGATAAAATGCATTTACAGATTTGCCTCCTTTGTTTTTATACTTCTGTGATTTTCTTACGAGACGAATTATTTAAGAGCACTTATGAGAGCAAATGCCGTATGAAGACAAATTATAGAGTCATTTTTAAAGAACCTTAAACTGAATGGTTGTGTATGTTTGTGTTCAATGTTTGCAAAGGTGTTTAATGTCACTGGGCTTACAAACTCTCCCCAGCACTGAAGGAACTCCTAATGGAGGAAAAAAAAAAAGCATTTTATGATGTAGAAGTACCGTTCTGTTGTTCTGCTTTTATGTTTTTGGGGAGTTTGTCACTTTAGCAGAAGCAAATATGGTCCCATGAGGGCGAGCTGAGGCTTGATTAGTTCAGAGTTTCACAATAAAAGGAGCACAAAAGAAGCATTTCTCTGTGTTAAGTTGTGATTTCAGATGTTTTTTTTTCTATTCCACTTTGTCTGCTTGTTAACGTTGGAAACCAAACTCTCCTCACCGCGCTCGTCCGTGTTATTCCAATTATTTAGCTACTTTTCTTTGTTGAAGCTCTTTGTCGTCAGTCAGACTTTTTTTAAGAAGGAAAAAATGCAGTTTTGTCTCTGAGCGATGTGTTGAAATGTTCTCTGAGATGCTGAAAATAAACGTTTTTGTGCAATCACACTCGTGCTGTTTTTAAGACCTGTTGTTCCTTCCCTGGCCACCAGGGGTCAGCACAGCTCCCAACTCCAGATGAATCCCCTACAGCTTCTCCAACAAAACGTAAGGGATAAAATCGTGTTAAAAGTGACTAAAATAAGAAGAACTTTGACAGTTTTTAATCTTCTCTCTGGTTTAAAGCTTAATGTGACGTCAGATGTTTCATCTGGGAGAATCCAAGTTTATGAGAAATAAATCTCAGTTACTACTTTATTACTTTACACGGGGAAAATCACACATTTTAAGAGTGAAAATTGCTACTTTAGGGGAGCAAAACACAAACGTAATAATATGAAGCACAAACTTAGGAGTGCAAATCACAAATTTCCAAGACGGAATCGTAAATTTCCAGATTCCAGAAGATCAAACATCAAACTAGACCTAAAACAACGGAATTAATCGTGATTAATCGTTAATTAAAATAATTGGCACCCAATTTAGTAATCGAATAATCTTTAACAGGAGTGTAGAAACCCAATGCAGAAAACAACTTAGAGCAGTTTTTATAACAAAATTGTAAATATATATAAATATTAAGGATTTAATATAAAAAAACAACTTTTTTGTCCGTCAATCTGCTCAATCCAATACTCCTCAAGTGGAAATTTTTCGTTTCATTTGGTTTAAATTCAGGGTAGTGGTGGCCTAGTGGTTAGGGCAAAGGGTGTGGAATCCTGAGGTTCTGAGTTCAACCCTTACTCCCACAGACTGCCACTCTGGGTCCCTGAGCAAGACCCTTGGCACCACACTATGGCCGCCCACTGCTCCCCAAGGGGATGGGTTAAATGCAGAGAGTGAATTTCATTGCTCTGTATTTGTGACAGTCTAATGACAAGAAAAAGCTGGAATAGGAAAAAAAATTCAGTAAAAACTCTTCTTGGCGTCCGATTTATTCAGAAAAAAAATCAACAGATTTATAGACGAGCAAAATAATTGATAGCTGCAGCCCTATATAAAACTTTCATAATTAAATGGAGAAAAAAAAAATATTTCTGAGAACTAATTTCACTTTTTACAGAACAGATCCTACATTTAGGAATCCCAGGTTTCCCATTCCGAGGATGAATCTACTAACCTGACTCCGCCAGATGGATTTGCTCCACATATCCATCTGGAAACCTTCCGTTGAAGTAATTTTGGGAAGGGGCGAAAATACTGGTTAGCTGATTGGCCTATGTTGGTGATAGACGGGCCAAATAAACCAATCAGATCAACGAAGCATATGACGTACTAACAGAGCGACGACGAAGAGGAGCCAATTGATAGATCAAACTCTTGCCGAAACCAGTCGGGAGAAGAGCAAAAACATCTTTTCCTCTGAGAAAAGCCTCCAGAGCAGTGTTTTGCTCTTCTTTCAGTGAAGAAATACTCTGTAATTCCGATAAAACTTGCTCGATAGCCACGCTAACACTAGTTTCATCGGCTGAAGCCGCCATGTTCTTTAGACTGAACTGTCGCGCTTCTCGTTGCGTCACACCTCAACCCGCCTCAAAGCCAACGCTGATTGGACGTTCGTTTGGTGAACGGCTCCAAATTTTCTTTAACGGAGAGTCTCCAGACTGATCTGCGAGTGAAACCTTGAAAGCTGGCGAGATCAGGATGGTCTCACGAGGCTATGAATCTACAGCTCCGGTTAAAGTTGTTAGACTCCTTAGCAGTTGGTGGCAGAGATGCACATGGATGTTTTTTGCTAACCGCCTTTAAACGACAAAAAAACCCCCAAAAACAATGATTAAATGGTTTGTTTTTGCTTAGATGTTAAAGAAAATTCAGGTGCAACACCACAGACTGGGAGTGGAACAGCTTGATCAGGGGATGTAGATTCCTACTTTATACTTTTTTGATTGTACCTTTATGTGGCCAGGTTCTAACTTCTAACATCTGATGTCACTTTATGTATGATAAGGACTAAATGCAGATCCTGCCTCTTCTTTCTGACCTGCTGTTCCTTTACAGGCACTGATGTCTCTCCCTGAGCACCATTAGTCCATGCACTGTCATGATTTCTGTATTATTATCTTCTAACAGCTGTAACACATACAGACCCGACAGCTGGGAATAAATTAATGATCCTTAAAACACAAAGACCTCAGAGCTTTTGTTTGTTTGTAAAAAAAATATCAAGTATAAAACCTGAAAGTGATGCACGCCCTCCAAAAAAAACCTCCTGGAGAGGCTTTTAGCTGCCGGTGCTCCAGCAAACACACAACCTCGCCCTTCTTTTCTATCCCTTTTTGCACCCAGAGATGTGTGAACTCACACACGACTGAAAGCGAAACAAACGCAAACTGTTTTAGGAAATCACCGTGCCTGCCAGGACTGCCTGAAATATTTCTGCCAGAATGGTTTCAGTTGCTCCAGATTATAGAAACCAAGCAGCCTTTTAAAAAGAGACAAACAAAAAATAGTAAGCAGAGTAAGGGATGATTAAAATGATTCACCCAGGCCTGAGAAAAGTAGCCTTGTGAGACCATCCTGATCTCGCCAGCTTTCAAGGTTTCACTCGCAGATCAGTCTGGAGACTCTCCATTGAAGAAAATTTGGAGCCGTTCACCAAACGAACATCCAATCAGCGTTGGCTTTGAGGCGGGTTGAGGTGTGACGCAACGAGAAGAGCGACAGTTCAGTCTAAAGAACATGGCGGCTGGATAGCGTGGCTATCGAGCAAGTTTT